AAATTGCTTGGCAGTACCTCAATGAGCAACATAGATTATGGGCTCAAGTTTGAAAATCAAAATATTTAAAACACCACACTCCCATACCTTATTCAACTACTTCCTCAGGCTCCTTTTATTGGAAATCCATAAGCCCAAAGATTATGGAGCTCACTTTGGAATGTGGCCACTTCATTAATGAAAATTCCTCTTTTTTTGTGGACCAAGTCCCTTCGCTTCATTCTCACAACGAATTCTCTTGGATTCCTTTCCCTTTGGCTCCTCATATTAGAAATCTGGATATTTCAAATCTCCTTTCCTCAAGTCAGTGGAATGCCGTTCATAAATTAGGCAAATTCTTAGTAAAAGAGGAGTATAAAAGAAACCAACAATAGTATCACACACCTATTTCCTCCCATCTTAAATTTTGCTTAAATAAAATTTGGAAACTCTCTATTCACCCCAGATAACAGCTATTCTTCTAGAAAGTACTTAACATTTTCATTCCAGTAAAAGACATGATTTGTCTTAATCCTCAAGAAAAACTTTGTGTTCTTTGTCATGAAGCAATAGAATTCTTTTGCATCTATTTATTTATTATCAATATGCTCAAGCTATTTTCTTTGTAGCCCCCTGTTACATCTTAATAATATATTTCAAGGCTCCTGGGTGTCTTGTATAAATAACCTTTATACTTTGATTGTAGACAATCAATTATTTTTACAAATTTTAGGGTGAATTGCTATTGCCTGTTATTATATTTGGTATGTCCGAAATGAGAAACGTTTCAAAAATTGACAAGTACTTTCCCAAACTATCATTACTATAATAAATCAAATAGTCCAACATACTCAGAATAATTCTCATGATGTGCATTCCATAACTCAAAAGTTTTTGCTTCCTATCAACCAATCTACTGATTTAATTATCTTTATTGATGCAGGGAAAATCCGATAGTTGATTGGGAATGAATGAGGTTCCACAAGAAACTCCAATACTTAAAATCACAATTAAAGGAGTGGAATAAGCTGGAGTTTGGAAAATTAGAAGAGAGAAAACAAGTTCTGGTGGAGCAAATCGATGATTTAGACCTGAAGGAAGAGAGAGGTTCCTTTGGAGAGGAAGAAAAGAAGTTGAGATGGGTTTTGAGGAGGCAAATTGAGGACATCTTGGTTAAGGAGTAAATCAGTTGGAGGCAAAAATCCAGGTGTAAGTGGCTAAAAGAGGGAGGCAGAAACACAAGGTTTTTCCATTCAGTGGCAAATGGGAGGAGAAAGACGAATTTCATCTCTAATTTGGAAGTTGATGGAGCAGTGTTGTCCCACTCGGCAGAAATTGAAGAGGCTCTAGTAAACCACTTCAAATCTATTTTTAGAAGGCCTATGAATGGGAGAGTGTGGTTAGAGGGATTGGATTGGTCGACTCTAAGTGTAGAGAAGAGAGAGTGGTTAGAAAAAAGTTTTGATATGGAGGAGGTAAAGGAAGCAGTATTCTCAATGGATATGACAAAAGCTCTGGGTCCAAATGGGTTCACAATGGCCTTCTACCACGACTGTTGGGATATTTTAGAGATGATCTTAAATTAGTTTTTGAGGAGTTCCACAAAAAAGGTGTAATAAATCCGGGCTTGAACTCAACTTTCATTGCTTTGGTCCCAAAGAAGAAAGATGCATCACAACCAAAGGATTTTAGACCTATGAGTCTAGTGACTAGCTTGTATAAAATCATTGCAAATGTGCTGTTTTTCAGGATAAAGAAGGTGCTTCTTCCCTTTATTATTGCACCCAACCAAGGTGCTTTTGTGGAGGGAAGACAGATCACCGATTAGATTCTCATTACAAATGAGAGCTTGGAGAGCTTTAGGAAGTCAAAGAAGAAGGGAGTGGTTTGCAAATTGGATTTGGAGAAGGCTTATGACTTGGTTGATTGGTCTTTCTTGATGGAGGTGTTAAGGAGTTTTGGTTTTGGAGACAGGTGGTATAAGTAGATTTGGAGTTGTGTTAGGACTTGCCATTATTCTATCCTGGTGAACGGGATTGTGTTTGACTTCTTTCCTGCGTTGAGAGGTCTAAGACAAGGAGATCCTCTTTCACCTTTTCTTTTCACCCTGATTGTTGATGTGCTTCGAAGATTGATCCATAGAACAGATTCGAGGAATTTGATAAGAGGGTGGAGAGTAGGAAGGGAGGAGGTTCCCTTAACACTTCTATAGTTTGCAGATGATACTATCCTATTTTGTGAAAGAGGGAATTTCAATTGGATCCGGAATCTAAAGTTGTCAATACAACTCTTTGAGCAGATATCTAACCTCAAGGTGAACTTTGATAAAAGTTGTGTGGCGAGAGTAAATGTGAATGAAAGGGACCTAAGGGAATTTGCAGGTGAACTAGGTCGTGCAATTTCGGACTGGCCCCTAACATACTTGGGCCTCCCTTTAGGAGATAATCCTAAGAGTATTAGCTTTTGACTCCGATAGTGGAAAGGTTTGAGAAGAGGCTAGCGGCTTGGAAGAGAAATTATCTTTCTTTAGGTGGGAGAATCACTCTCATTAGGTCTACCCTAACTAACCTACATGTTTACTATCTGTTAGTGTTTAAGATCCCCTCAATGGTTTCCAATCTTTTGAAAAAATTAATAAGGAAATTTCTGTGGGAGCTTGGAGAGGAGAAGAGATATCATAGGGTGAGTTAGGAGGTGGTCACTAGGTGTAAAAAACTAGGAGGTCTTGGGATTGGTAATTTCAAGAAAAGGAATATGGCTCTATTGGGGAAATGGTTGTGGAGGTTTTCATTGGAAAGGGATAAATTGTGGCTAGCATTCATGGGCTGGAAGACAATGGCTGGGATCCTGGAATCTTGGCAAGGGCCTCAGCTGCTTCTCCTTGGAAATCCATTCACAATCTGCTTCTAGTTTTCTCCCCTTGGATCATGTATGGTCTAAACTCTAATAACCGACTAAAATTCTGGGAACAACTTTGGGTCGGGGATTCTCCTATGAAAGATCAGTTTCCTTCCTTGTATGTTCTATCAAACTTGAAAAATGAACCCATATCTTCTTTCTTGGTCCCTTCAGCCTCCACTTCTGGCTTTGGATGGAACCTAGGCCTGCATAGGGCAATTAGGGATACAGACATGGATAGCTTGGTAACTTTGCTAGCCTCCCTTGAGATTGCCTTCCTAAACCCTGCTAAGGAAGACACTAGATTTTGGACCCCTTCTAGCTCTAGTACATTTTTTTGTGCTTCATTCTTTGAAACCTTAACTCAGCCTCCAATCCCCTTTGGGTTGTCCTTTCCGATTAAGGAAATTTGGAGCATGCCTATTCCTCTTTGGGTTGTTTTTTTTTTGTTGGAAAAGTTTCCTGGAAAGAATCAACACTTTAGACTTACTTCAAAGAAAGAGACCCAACTATTGTCGACTTCCTAATAGATGTGCTCTTTGTAAAGTTGATGGGGAATCTGACTACCACCTCATGGTCTCTTGTAAGGCTGCTAAAACTGTTTGGGAGTGGGTTTTCTCCCACTTTGGGTGTTCTTGGTATCTTCCAGAGACTATCCAAGGTTTGTTTTCTCCTTCTTTTTTTCAGTTGGCCTAAGAAGCGGAGGAAGACTATGTGGAAGTGTATTAGGGTAGCGGTATGCTGGTCATTGTGGGAAGAAAGAAACTCACGCATTTTTTCCGATAAGGAAAGAACATTGGAAGAATTGTTAGATCAAATCCTTTTAAGGGTTGTCAACTGGCTAAAATCTTTGGAGATGTTTTCAGATTTTTCTGTGGATGACTTGCTAAGAAACTGGATAGAGATTGCTTCCAATGCTAGATGCAAGAGGACTTTTTGTTCGTTTTGGTCTCCTGCACCCTCGGGCTTTATAAAGTTGAATTTTGATGGTAACAGTGTAAGGAATCCAGGGCCCTCTGGGATTGGAGGAGTATTTAGGAATGAGGAAGGGATTGTTATTGCTTTATTCTCTGGTCCTATTGGAGAAGGTGACTCTCTTAGGGCTGAGATCCTTGTAGCGCTTGAAGGAATTAGAAGAGCAAAGGAATTAAATATTAATCGTTTGATCCTAAAAGGTGATTTGAAGGTAGTGGTTAGTTGGTTGAAGATAGAGGACAGTGGTTTGTGGAATTTTAACAATGGAAAAAAAAAACAGTTTTTATGGCTGGATAGGGACATTGAGATTCAATACAGCTGGGTGAAGAGCAGTGCCAATTCATTTGCGGATGGATTAACCAAGCAAGGAGTGAATAGGGAGTCTGTTTTTGGGGCTAGTTTTTAATCTTTTCTCTTTGCACTCCCTTTGTTTTCTGTTTTTAGGGAGCTAAGATATTTTATCTCCATATTCACTCTTTTCTTTTAATTTAATAAAGCTGGTGTTATTGATAAAAAAAAATCTTATTCTTTATTCAGTTTTGGCATTATTGTACTATCAAGGAATTTATCATGTTTAAAAATTATAGGAAGCTGAACTTCCACTATTACCTCTATTGATTAAGCTGAAACAGAAATCCAGACATGGAACTGTGAAGATGTCTTTATATGTTCGGATGCACAACAAATAGTTCGAGTCTTAGAGAAGACCAATGATCTACCCTGATCGTGCCATTGACTTTTGTTAAAGACCATAAATTTAGCTATGAACCTTTCAAAACTGAAGTTTTATTTTGTAAATCGAACTTATAATGTCCCTGCCCACGCGGTGTCCCAAATGGCTAAATCGCATTTCATGTGGGGGATTCAGAACCCCTGGTCGGGCTAGGGCTGTCCTCAAGCCGACCTAATCCGGTCCGACTTGTACCCCCTAACCGTGCGGCCGGGGATTCACCAGAGGCAGTCACGGAGTCGGAGTCAACTGAAGGAAGACCAAGATCGCTATATTTTGCCATCTTTGAAAAAGACTGTTTCTGTTTATGGCTTTCGGTTCCGATGTTGTGTTAATAAGGTTATTTTTGTCTTTTCATAAGTGATGAGCTCCGTTTGCGTTTATCCTATAAACGGGAATGTGCCATAAATCAATCAAGAAAAAAGGGGAATGTGCCAATAAAAATTCAAGCTTTACCTGTATAAATTTAATCTTCGCTTCCCTCGCCTTGTCCTTCCGCCTTCTCTCTGGTTTCTTCAATCTAGGGTTTTGCAGCTATTCATTCGCTTCATGTTCCCGCCAAATCTTCTTCTTCAAAATCTCCCCGATAATCTTCTGATGCTTTGAATTCTATTCCTTTGCGCGGCCCTTTCTGCGATTAATCCCCCTTTTCTCATTTGCCGTTCGGAGACTCCATTATGATTATCTTCTTCCCGCTTAGGTTCTCATCGGCCGTTGCTTCGTTCTTGGTTTCTCAAAATCTTCGTGTGTTTGGGCCTGGTTTGAATCCTTTCTCACCATACGGCATGGCTAATCATTCCTTTGCTTCTCGCTAACTGGATTTCCCTTTCTCTTCCTGGATTTTTTCTGGAAACATGTAAAACGTCGAATTCCATCGATCTCCGGTATCCTTGTTTAATTGGAGTTAGTATATTTGTTCATAAGATATCATTTGTTTTCGTCAAGGCTGATAAGGATAAATTCAAGGGTCTAGTTGAATTCGAGGATTTATTTTGCTTTTGAGTTTTATATTTAGACAAAGTTATGCCGCAAGAACAGCCGGGCTCGCTTCGGCGAAGCTTGTCAAGCCGACGATCTTTCAAGTCTTCTGTCGAGAGGGATGATAGAGGTTGGACTCTTCTTCATATTCGTGCTCGAAAAGGTGAACTGAAGGAGGTCAGTGATTTCTGTTCTCTTCTCTTTTTTCTATTTTTTGATTGGTTATTCCCTTTTTCTATTTAGTTAAGCTATTTTGCAGTGTCTAATGATCAAATCATTTACAATGTTAAAATGTCTGTGTGTATCTCTTTATTCTCTTTTTCTTATGTCTTATGGAGAAATCTCCGATGGTAGTGTCATGTACATTTTTTCCAGTCCAGCTCCCTGAGCAGTTTTGTCAATTTATGTTGCTCTTGGTATAGAGGATCTGGATCAGAAAAATTTGTTTAGGTTGCACTTCTGTATTTGCAAGTCGAATAAACGTTATTGAACATTTTTATATGAAAAGAGGTTATTAAACTTGCATTCTACCGTAACACTCCCTTATTGTTACTGAAGTTAAATGTTCTATTTGTGGATCTTTAGACTATCTCCAGCTCAAGGTTAGTTTTTTTTGGAAGATCATTGAACATGTATATGGTTTTGACTATATTATGGAATTACTATTAACGTGGAACCCCAGGTTTTTAGTTTTTTTGGAAGATTAACCATTGAACTTGTATATGGCTTTGATAAGATCTATTGTGAAATTATTATTAATGTGGAGCCCAACTTGTGCAGCCTAGCGATAAAAGTTCTCTGAAACGAACACAAGCATAGAAATGAAAGTAAGAACTTCAGAAAGAGCACCTACTGTTAATGGTTATTGTTTACAACACCGTAGTGGGTTAAATACGAGTATTAGAGTAACTAAATGGACAAAAAATAATGGCAATGATGACAGATCTGAACTTTGCAAACTCTTAAACAAATAATTACTTCATTACTACTCAAAAACTCTAATCTTCAGCTTTGTTTAAAATGCATACTTCAGCCATTTACCATCACAATTTCTTTTTTTTTTTTTTCATTTTTTGATCCCATAATGAAGCCTTGGTTATAGTCCATAAAAGGATGGAAAATAGTAGACAGTTCAGTTTTTTTCACCAAGAAAGGGGTTTTATTATTTGTCATTTCAGTTTGCAAATGATTCCAAATTTATCTATAAGGCAGCAATGGGCATCTTTGTTACTTTAGGTCCAACTGTCCTACTTTAGGCCAGTAATACTATTCAGAGATCAATGGTAGTGTCTTGTCTTGCCCAAAGTGACCTTCCAAGTGCAGCTCCTACATACTCAACAATCGGCATAAACAATTGCCCGGTGCACAGATGGTTGTCTTTGCTACTGTGCTCTCCTCTACTTGTAGCAAAATATATCTTAGATAAATCACTATCATTTGCATTCATATCTCTAAAATAATCAAAGCCAAAGACTTTGATTTGTGTCATGGCAAGTAGAGCTGTTTGCTTACTGAGGGTGTTCGCTTGTCTATTTTTCTCTCCTAACTTATGTCTGATTGTGAAAGTAAATTCTTGTATTCGAGAAAACCATTTTGCATGTTGAGCAATCAGATTTGTTTGAGTTAAGGTACTTTTTAACACCTCATGCCGAGCATTAAGATAGTGCTCAAATGATGGGAAGAAACACAACATTGTAAGTGCTATAGTTGAGTTGAGAGCCTGTGAGCTTCTCACTAATAAAGACTATGGTCCTCCTTAATTGAATTAGGACTTAGGACTGCCCATGTACCTGTTTTAGAGGTGCTGCACTCCAATTTAAACAAAATGTCAAATTGGGTAGTGCCAACATTGGTGCGTTGATGACTTGATAAGTTTCCCCTTGGGGGGTGTTCTTTTTTTGGATTTTGAGAGGGGGAAAGTTGGTCAATGGGATTTTGATTCCCATTGACCAAGAAACCCATGTTCATTTTTCAGATTTATGTGGGGACCAATGAAAGTTTACTTTCCCGGGTACCACTTACCCGGGTAAGTGATACCCATCTCCTAGGTGGGTAAATTAACTTTCCCATCTAGGGGAAGTTGTTAATACTTGGATGGGACAAAAATGCCCCTTTTAATAATGGAATTTTTATGGCTAAGATTGTCATTGCCTTATTTACATGGGAAATAAAGAACATGGGTAAATGCATTTACCCGAGTAAGACTTTCCTGGGAAACACTTACCCAGGTAAGTGCATTTACCCGGGTAAGTGACTTAACGAAAAGCGAACGGGGCATTAATGGTATCAAACGCTTCTTGGGCTTGAGTGGACCATGTGAACCCATTTGGAATGAACTGATGATAGAAAGATGCCACCTGAAATATTGTTCTTGGAGTTGGCCATTCTTTAACACTAAGCACTTTACTGTTGTTCACACGAATGCCATCACCTGAGAGCTCATTTCCTTGAAATATGAGTTTTGTTTGTAAGAATGAACACTTGTTTAGATTACCAAAGAACTCAAATGCTTAGATGGATGAGTGGTAAAACTAGAAAGGACAGGGTTTGGAATGAAGACATACAAAGAACTATAAAAAAATGAAGTCATACAAAGGAACCTAGGAGTAGCTCCAGTTAGTGATTTGAAAGGTGCACCCTTGTATCCCTAGGCCATAGGTGGGGCACTTTTCAAGGTATGCGCCTCACCTAGGCTTAGGCACAGCCCCTTTCAAAAGGGATGCTCCTGGTGCACCTGGCGTGCACCTTGTGCCTCTATTTAATTGTTGCACTTTTTGCAATTTTTTTAAAGAAGTGTCAGATCCCTTGGACCCCTGATCTAACCCCCCTTATGTTAATATCGATCATTCACCTTTTAATACTATAAATTTTTCAAAAGATAAGCAACTATAAATACAATAACAAAACCAGTATTTTTATGTACATCTAAAAAATTTAAGATGCCAACATGGACTTGTTTGGGCTTTGGGGTTGCCTTTGGCTTGGTACAATACAAAGTTGTTTTGTAGAATTAGGAATACATTAGCTATTTAAAGTAAAGTTGTTATTTTTGCCCTCTACCTTCTTTTGGCCAACAAAAAGAGGGAGAAACATGCGGATGTGTCTTAGAGCAGCCACTTTGTGGACCATTTGTGAAGAAAAATATGCAAGAATTTTCCAAGACAAGGTGAGATCCCTTACAGTAGTGAAGGATTGTATCCTAACTAGGGCTTTGGACTCCTTCAGCTCCTTCTCCTTTGATGACTTCTGGAGGAATTGGATTGTTATAGCCCATTCCTTGATTAAGAAAAACAGATCTGTAACAGTTTGGGCACCTCCTCCAGAAGGTTTTACCAAATTGAATTTTGATGGTTCAGGACCATCAGGCAGTGGAGGAGTTCTGAGAAATGAGGAAGGCAACATCATCTCTTTGTTTTCAGGCCTAGTGGGAATAGGGGACTCTACAAGGGCTGAGTTATTGGCTGCTGTACAAGGAATTATGATTGCCAACCAACTTGGAGTAGAGAATCTACTAATTGAAGGGGACTCCGAGGTGATTGTGGGTTGGCTGATGAACCCAGAAGTTATGTGGAATTATAGGGACCTCATAAAAAAAGTCAAATACTTAACAAGACATATAATACTTTGGCTGACTCTTGCTAAACAAGGGTCCTCTAGGGATGTGTTATTTTGGGCAGCTATGTTATCTGTTTTATGATCCTTTGTATTGATTAGGAGAGGCTGCACCTCGTGCCTCTCCAGGGAAGCTTGTAAAGTTCTATTATGCTTGATTAATGATATTAATTTTTCAATTACCAAAAAAAAGAAATAAGGTGATTGAAAGTTCCATTTTTTTGATTTTTTAACAATTGAAAAAATTTGCACCTTGCACCCTGAGTGCAAAAAATAATCCTTTGTGCCTTGCACCCCCTTTTTGATTTTTTTTTTTTTTTTAAATTTTGTGCCTTGTGCCTTGCACTTCAACCACAAAAGCCCCTTGTGCTTTTAAAACAGAGGCTCCAATAGGTGATAAAATGAGAAAATAGATTGAGATGGTTTGATCACATACATGGAAGACCATCAATAGCACCTGTTATAAAAATGATCTGTTACAAGTTAAAAGGCTTGTAGGCTCACAAGGTTCCATTAAGAGTAATACCATCATCTCAATCATATATAGCAGCACATCCTTGTTCAACTTGAAAGGCTTATGGTAGTGAACTAGTGATGCTAAAATTTGGTACATCTTGGATGAATGAAAAATTGTCCACACTTCTTTAAGTGTACTATTACTACTAAATGGTAACAAGTGGAAAACATATAAGCAAGGATCAGTTCTAAATCTATGCTTGGCATGATGAAATGATTCTTACAAAAGAAGGGTACACCACACAATCAGTGAAGATTTACTAAAGATTGGAATCCTCTTTAGAATTTGTTGAATGGAAAGGGACATGGTAATTTCTAATAAGGTCATTACTCGTTAACATTACTTTTAAGCCATTGGTCCTGAATATCAGATGCCCTGAAAACCAAATCCCTGATAATGGAAAGAATTTACAATGCTAGCCAAAACATACACAGACAAAAAACTATCTAGACATGATAAAGCAATAAAATGCAAAAGGGATAGGATGTAGCTGCAGTAAGGAGTGGTTGTCATTGCAATGGGTTCATGGAATATGGCATATGCACCTTAGAGCTCTAATCCTATATTTCAGGTCACCCTGGATTGTAAAAGTATAACTAGAGCATGCTTTTTAAGTACTATACACTATTATTTTCCATATAATAATGATGTTTTCCTGTTATCAATGAAAAAAGAGCATATTTGTTAATGCGATCAGCATGAAAAGTTTATTTACTTCCTGTTTTATTTAAAAACCAAGGAATTGATTATGTGGATGCTTTAAATTGGGAGAATTCTTCAATGGGACAAATCTTTCTTACATGCCAAGGCAGAAAATATGCTTTCACTTGTCCCAACAACTTGCAGCAATAAATGGAAAACCACTATATGCTCTTCCTGAGGTTTTGAATAGATGAGCCTGCACTGTGGGTTCAGTATTGTTGTTGTTGTTGTTAGTTTTTTCTTTTTTCGGTTTTGTGGACTAATTTACTTATCATATTAAATATTTAACTCTGAGGAAACTGAAATATCTCCTCCAAACTGTCCAACTGTGAACTCCCTAATTACT